CGGCGTTCTGTTTACCGCGCTGTGTCGCCGCTACAGAATTATTGACAAAATCCAACCAAGATCTCTGAATATATGTAACTCTTCGTTGAATCTCTGGTATGCATTTATGTTTAGACCATATAGGCAAATGGTAATAGGTAAAAATGTGAACAACAAAGCGAGAATTTACAGGGTTCTCACCTACCAAAAGATATCGTATTGAATATCTATACTAATATTATAAAGAGCAATGATTTTTTTTATGTATGTATCGAAATAACTCAAAAACTACTGGGGCGATTTTAAAAATTCATTCACCGTTAGAAAGGTAATTTATCTGGTAACATAGGCTATATTTTTTTGACGGGGGCGAAATCGCGATCAACAGCTAGTATGAAATAAATCAATAAAAAAAAGATTTTACATTGTTCTTGTTTCATTTTACTGTAAGAGCCTTATTTTACTAAGATTTAACTGTGATGACACCGATTTAAGAGTAGGTTTCGAAATAAATCTGAAACTAAAAAGTGTTTGAGAGCTCTATCTAACAAAGTTATGCTAAAATTAGAAATTCAAGCACTTTTTATACATAATATCGCTACCAAAATTGTATTCACTTAGAGATATCTTACTAATACTAATATTATAAATGCGAAAGTTTAGATGGATGGATGGATGGATGGATGTTTGTTAGCGTTTGTAGCCTAAACTGCTGAACGTTTAACGTAAAACGAACGTAAAATGTCAAATTTCATGGAGATCTCCATGAAATTTGGCACAGGTTCAGAGCATAGTCTGGAAGAATACATAGGCTACTTTTTATCCCTGGAATAGTTACGGTTCCCGTGGGATTCATTGATTTAGTTTTTTAATGTTTACTAGATCATTCTGCAACGGTTCAACATATCTTATTGTAATTTGGCACAGATATAAAACAAAGTCTGGAGTACACATGGGAAACGCTTCATCCCCGAGAAATGTCCGGTTCCCGAGGGATACGTAGTTTTTTGTAATTTTTATAGTTTGTATGTTTTCTAATACCACGCTTACGAAGTCGCGGGCAACAGCTCGTATTAAACTAAATTGTCCGGATATAAAACAGACAGATTCCTAACCTAGTTTAGAACTAATCAAATCGGACCGTTATGACACCCAGTTAATTCGCCATGTTTCCTCTATTTCGCATTAACGGCTATTAATTGCCGTTTATAAACTGCATTTGCAGTCGTTACTTAATTTCCCGCGTTAAATATATAATTCTAACGAGCATATTGATATAGCGACAAATGACACTTAAATATGCATATATATTCATACGCATATTAAAATATGTATGAAAGTAAATAATTTAAAATATAAACAGATGTTTTGTAATACTAGCTTTCGCTTGCGACTCCGTCCGAATTACAAAAAACAAAAGTAAGTAGCCTATGTGTTCATCCGGACTATCCTCTACATCTATGCCAAATTTCATCTATTGTTCAGCCGTTTAGGCTACAAACTCTAACAGACGTTCATCGACAAATCCAAACTTTGTCATTTATAATTAGTAAGATAGTAAGATTTAAATATGATTTTTTCGGACATTTTTATATGAATCGTAATTAATATTACGATATTCTTTGGTTTAATTAATATCGAAGTTTTCACCTAATTAATTCGAATACGCTAAAGCTTTGTCGTTCAATGCCAACTGACCGGAGTACACTTTGGTACTCAAATATCGAAGCATGGGCCTTTTTTAAATAAGGTTACCGTGCGCAGGAGTTGACATCAGCCAGTATTTACTAACGGCGCGTAACAAACAAGGCAATTCAGGTTACATAAAGTGAAACGGCAACACAAGCTCGGTTAAATTTAACTAAACTAGTTACGCAGAAAAACGTGTTCCTAATACAAACGAATCCGTAAGGATTATGTAAAAGTTTTCCACCTTCCGGACTCAAAAGGTTAAATAACCCGGTTTTAAGTATTTTGGGTCTCTATTGCGATTTTCTTTGATTACGTATCTTTTAGACTCCTTCAGTTTTACTTGCAGTCAAGCTGTACAGTTTAAACTCTGCTACAAATGTAGGCAAAAGTTTAATAGTTCGAATTTTGCACAGTCTTATCTAAACAGTTCGATTCTTCAATATAATCAGTCATATTTGAGAGACTATTTCTCTTAACATGTGACAAAAATTTTAAATGTCAGTCAAACTGTACAGTTTAAACTCTGCTACAAATGTAGGCAAAAGTTTAATAGTTCGAATTTTGCCTACATACGCGCAGTCTTATCTGAACAGTTCGTTTCTTTAGTATAATCAGTCCTATTTGAGAGATTATTTCTCTTAACGTGTGACAAAAATTTTAAATGTCAGTCAAACTGTACATTTTAACTGCTACAAATGTAGGCAAAAGTTTAATAATTCAAATTTTGCCTACATACGCACAGTCTTATCTAAACAGTTCGATTGTTCAGTATAATCAGTCATAACTGAGCGTCTATTTCTCTTAACGTGTGACGAAAATATTAAGTTGTCAATTAAACTGTACAGTTCTCAGTATCCCATACATTTTAATTTAAAGATGAGCAAATTCCTAAATAAACAGCAACATTTACCTTAGTACTATATTACTTGATTGAATTAACCATTGTTATGTCAATTGCAAAAAGTTTATTGTGAATTATTCATAGCACGAGACGAGAAAAATGTTGTGGCCATAGTCAGTGTTAATTATATACAATACATACAATTCTGTAAAACAGAATACTATTAGTGTTGCAACATGCATTATCGATATCGACATCAAGCGTTATCGATATTAGCCAATTTAAAAGAGAGGTCGCATTGGTATTGGCATATCCTCATCTTGTCCACCCCCTTCTCTATTAAAAGGGAGACAACAGATCCGCAAATAAAGACGCTTATAGGCACCGACAATTTGACTATTTTGTTGTATTACGTTAACCGTTGCTCGTTTGCCACATTACGATAAAAGGATCACTCCTGTAGGTTATTCCTGTAGAACTATTTCCAGGTATATCGATATAAATGTGCATTCTAACATCACTAGACCTTCGACTGTAAACGGGCTACGCGTTCAGTGAAAAGTGAAATCACGTAGAAACGCATGGTCCGCGAACTATGGTCCGCGTACACGAATAATAAATACACGAATCATAATAAATCATACATCCATCATAGCAACTATACGAGTAACTTGGTATGGACAAGAGACTTTCATCGTTGAATTGAAAATAAAGGTTTTACTTTTTTAACCGACTTTCCAAAAGAAAGAGGTACTCAATCCGTCTCTATGTTTTTTTTTATGTGTGTTACGGCATAACTCCGCCCCTAGTGGACTGATTTTGATAATTCTTTTTTTATCCGAAAGGTAATGCTTGCAGGTGGGTCCCATTTTTTTGTTTGATTTTTGGAGTCAATAACTACGACATAGTTAAATAGTTTTCTAACGGTGAATTAGATAAATGACAAATGTTTCTTTTATACTTTTCGACAATAGGTAAATCTATACTAATATTATAAAGAGGAAAGTTTTGTAGTTTTGTTTGTAATGAAATAACTCAAAAACTACTGGGCAAATTTTAAAAATTCTTTTACCTTTATAAAGGTAATAATTTTTTATTTTTTAATTTCACGCGGACAAAGTCGTGTACTATTTGGCAATAAAAAAGGTTATATGGTCATTCTGTCCTCCTACTAACTTAATAGAAATCTTAGTTTAACGTCCAGTTGGAATGACCATCAGTATTATTTAGTGTTAATGAAGTATACATAATGTGTACTTTGTTGTGTATTTTATATTCTTGTACCGCTGTTTATGATAGTGTATTTACGTAAACATGAATTATTCTCCTTGAGCTCAAAATGTTTACTGTTAAAGCGTTTAAATATCTACAAAAAGCAAGTGCAATGGCAACTTATAGTAGAAGACAATGTTCCAAATTTAAATGTCGTTTCAGTTTAAATGTAAAAAAAAATATACCTGTATAGCAACACCATCGACGGATATCGTGATCTCAACCTTTTTGCATTTAGCAGCATCTTTTGTCTCTGACTTCTTAAGTTGTTGCGTAAATTGCAACTTCTTTATAGCGTCCTTAACTACTTCTATGCCTTTGGGCTGGTCCACTTGAGTGCAGCCTAGGAACTGGAAATTTAAAAAAAATAATTAAGATTAAAACCTCTTTGGAATAAAATTCGTTTCACAAAAGTGTTCAACATGAACTCAAGGTAGTAAACTCTGCTTAACCTCATTGTAACAAGCGTGAAAGTTTCTTTCATTAGATATTCAATTACGTCCTTAATTACAATATTATTTTCAATTAATTGTTAATTCTGATAACAATCTAAGTACTTTGTTAATTATCTTGTAAGATATTTTTGCAGTATTGTTTAGTTGTCGCCTATTGGTCGATATTCGGTTACAATTCCTTAATTTTTTTTATTGAAAACTATTTTACGCCCGCGACTCCGTCCGCGCGGAATTTTAAAAAAAAAGCGAGTAGCATATGTGTTCTTCCAGATTATCCTATACATCTATACCAAATTTCATCGTAATTCGTTCAGCCGTTTAGGCTAGAAATTTTAACAAACATCAATCCATCCCTCCTTCCATCCATCCATCCATCTATCCATCTAAACTTTCGCATTTATAATATTAGTATGATTGCTAAACTCCAACACATGCTTTCTACATAACACTTTCATTCGCAGTTTCCTTAATAGGGATGTACCGTATGTTACTGACGTCTACTCCCGTCGGTGTCTCCGATAGAACTGGCCAAATAGTATATAAAATGGAACTTTTTTTTTTTTTCACGCTGGGAAAATGCCTTTACGCATCCCCCCTGTTACCAGGGGGGTATGTGGGACTCGCCGGTCAGAAGATATAAAATGGAACTGGTTTGACAGTAGCCAAATGTTATATTACAAGGGGTATGTGTTGATTTCGCTTCAAGTATGATTACCCTGAACTGGTTTCGTAAAATCTTTAGATGTACAATAGATAATTGCAAACATCCAGCGTGTAATTGCATAATACTTAAAGAATTATATTAAGAAGAAATAATTAATGTCAAGGGGAGGTTACTATGCCACGATGAATATAACATTTTAGCAGTCATGCGGATTAATATCTAAATTTTCATGTTTTAATACTTTTAAGTGAATAACTATTATAGCATTAACGTTTGATTTCTTAATAACTGCTTGAAAACAGCATCAAAGTCAAAGCAAACATTTTTAAGTATTACTATTTCAGACTTTAAAAACAGTAATATTGTACAGACACATAATATTAAGATGCCGAGGATGGAGTAACCTAATTATGAAAACATTTCGAAGCAGTTTGTTGATTTCTGCGAATGAAATAAAAAGATCGTGTTGTACAACAAAGAACAATTAAATAGTAACATGAAAATACTTCAATCATTTACATTAATTAATTATTTCTATTCCAATAAGCATATTAAAATATACCCGGTGGTGTAACGGACGTATGATCGCTGTAATTAACAATTATAATAATTTAATAAACAGATGACTAAACAAAAGGTCAGCTAGAGATATCGCGGACTAGTTTTCCGCAAACAAAGCTACCACAACAGTATGTATTAAAGAATTCAAACTTTATAGCCGCTTGCTATTTGTTATGGAACGCAGAACAAAATTTTAGATACCAATACAAAGTAAACACGTTATATAAGCCAATCTTTAAACTCTAAAGTCCATTACAATCTTTGAGTATTTGGCCAAAACTGTTTGTTGACAAAATTTGGTTTATTCCTGATGTTAGCAGAAATACGTTGTCATCCGTTCTCTCTCTCTCTCTAGCTATAGTGTATGTTTGTCACATTTTTCTAATAAAGTACTAACTTCTGGAATATGATTCATAGCCCATATTATGCAGCAACATTTGAAACAATTACACGATCCATTCAAAGCTGTTAATACGCCCCCAACATTCGATAGCGCTCAAAACATCTGTTTTGAACACGTGTTCTGATAATGCACGCGTATGTACTTAAATGTTTTGTTGTCCGCGAGATTTAGGTTAGTATAATGCGTTCCAAACTTCATGGTAGCTCGTAACACCTTTTAGGAGAGTAAGTACTATTTGAAATATTTTTGGCGGATGGATCGCTTGCGTTCACATGTAACTCTGAGCCGCTATAAAGTTTGAATCTTGTTATAATTTTGGATTCACATTCTTATCATTAAAACGTTGTTTAATTGGTCATTTTATTTTAGTAAATCACGTATTTACGAACAACATCACTTTCAAAACATAATCATAACTGTGTCGTTATGTTTACGAATGTCGCTCACTATGTTTTGATTTATTAATAATACCCTAATCACGTGTAGCGTACATTTTAGTTCATATCAGAATTATTATTAAATTCTCACTCATATGTTTACAAATAATAAATAAAAAGCGTGTTAACAACTTTAGCAAAAGGCGAACAGAGGGTTTGCCGAAACCAATTAAATATTCGAAGGTGTTAATGGGATAATGTGCTGGGGTTTACCTTAACAAGATATGCAACATGTCCCTTGACCAGGGCGTCAGGGGCGTGTATCCAGTTGCGGCCATTAGGCGCCCCGTTGGCCTTGCCGCGGCCCTGCCAGAACAGCAGGGTGGACATTCTGGAACAATAATGAATTATGAACACATAGATCAAATCAATAGTTATTCTTTACATGTATGTAAGTTTAGGAGTTCATATGAGATACTTTAAAATACTAACAACTTAAACGATTAAGTCAAGTTGTTAATTGATTACTGAAGTCAAATGGGGATTGCTAAGTGATCATTAAAGCACTCTGATTAGGTCAATTTATTTCATTTCATTATTCTATTATTCAACTGCAGAAAGTAAGTAATTGTAGTTAAAATGGGTAAAGTAATTATTAAGTTTGTCAGCAACGAACAGGCTATATGCTGCATAATTATAGCTATTTGCTTAAAAAGTCACATACAAAAGTAACTAATTATAATATTAATGTAGATAAATTATTATCTATACTTCTATACTGTTATAAAAAAGCGTAATCACACACTTCTTTGTTGCCTAAGTTCACAATTACAGCATATTTTTGAATAATTCCTTTTTTTAATAAAACGCCCAACACTTACGTCACGCTTTAGGCTATATATTTTCACGCCATTAAACTTAGGGGTATATATTTTGAATAAAAACCCTGTGGGAAAGAGACCATAAGTTGTTGCCTACATCAAAGAAGCAAGATTGCCAACGTTTGTCATATCATGTCATTTTAACATTTGTTGTTGATAATTTGACAAATGTTAACAATAACACAATTTTTTTTATAATTTCATGCGGATGAAGTCGCACTTGAACAGTTAGTTTAGTATATATGTAAATTTGATTATCTTTTATTTATATAACAACACCATAATATACGTAGAAGGATATATTATATAAGTATGTTTACATTATTTAGATAAAAGTTCCAGGTAACAATTAGAAACACGTGCGTTTCAGATTAACCGCACATATACCATATGGGTTTTTCCAACACTCATTTAAATGAAAATCCTTCTTTATATATATTAATTATTTACATACGTATAGAGTTTAATGCGTCTTATAATCTACGAGTATATGTTGACCACAACAAAGAAGTATATAATCTTTATCTATACTGTAATATAAAGAGAAGAGAATTATATTTTTGTACGTATTGATATAACTCACAAACTACTGGGACGATTTAAAAAAATATTTTACCATTAAAAAGTTACAGTATCGTTGAGTAAGGTTATATTTTTAAATTTCACGTGGACGAAGTCGCGAGCAATAGCTGTTTAAATATAGAACAACAAAGGAATTAAACGAAAGGATTATTGCCTTAAAAATATTAAAATAATGGTCCTCCATTAAATTTAGCTGAAATTGTAGCATTTTTTGCAACTACTTTTTACTACATCGATTAGTAAAACTATTCTGAAATAAAAAAAGTATTCTGGAATAAAAAAATCCAAGTAAATTAAAAAGATAAAATCAAGATGCAAGACGCGGGAAAAACCATTTTTCACTTCGCTTCACATATCGTCCAAGGATAATAAATCACAATAATTTCTATGAATTGACGACAGCTGGCTTATTATCAATTATGCACTGCAGTGGTTATTTCCTTATAGGATCGTTTAGTGTATTTAAGATTCTTTGTTGTTATTACAAAACTCTGTCTCTCTCCGATTGTGTATAGGGTCCACGCACTAGTTTTAATCTTATCTCGTTCTATCGTAATTGCAGTCACTCCCTTCTAAATATTTTTACTAGCTTTTGGCAACAACTCAGTCCGCGTTGGATTAAAAAAAAATCAAAAGTGTGTAGCCTAAGTGTTCTTCCAGACTATCCTTTATATCCATGGCAAATTTCAACGAGATCCGTTCAGCCGTTTAGGCTACAAACTCTAACAAACATCCATCCATCTAAACTTTCGCATTTATAATATTAGTGACATAACAAAAGATGATACAGTCCCGCAAGGATATTGTGGCACCTTTTTGACATTGACAGGATGGCGCCTCTGAGCATTTAGGGTTACCAGCAAGATATGTCCACATTAAAGGAAATTCTTTCCTTTTCAAAACGAAAAAGCATTTTAAAGATAGTACTTGAACCTTACAATGTAACTAGGAATGCAGTAGACTTCGTTTATCGGTTAGAAGACTTTTAGCAATGCACACTCTTGAGACAGACAGTTCTCGTTATACATCCATGATAAAAGCAAACAGAATTAAAGACCACAGATAATACAATAGTGGGACCGTAGTTTCTAAAGATAATATTTACATTAAAATAATATTTATTTGCAAGACATTTGTATTGAATATTAAAGTTTTCTAGCTATAAGCTTAAGACACATGAGATAATTAGATAGTTTTAGGGCCTGTCCCAACAACTTATAAATTGTCTGATAACAAAATGTGATGGAAATATCGGATTTTGACGGTGACGTCATTTTTAATCTGAGCCTCTACCAACCAGAGGTGGGACGGGCCCTTAATCAATAGAAAATATTCACAACTAGAGCGAAGTTCTGACAAATAATGTGTTATCTTTGACCCTAATTAGATTAAAAATAAATATTTAACAACTATTTTATATTTAAATATATGTTGTTGTATAACATATAACTTTGCACTATATTCTTATTGCAATAAGGTCGTGATCAACTTGCATTACCAAAGAGATTGAACGGAATTAATTGCTTATTGTACTATAGATTGATCAATCACGACTTATGAAGGACCTTAATGTAACTTAAGTGTAAGCATCCAAGTGTATGTTAACAGGTTGTTACAATGTTAACACTATTTTCAATTATAAAGTTATCTGAAGATTTTTATATAGTTGAGATTCTCTCTTATTATTTGTTGTGAATATTATAAATGCGAAAGTTTAGATTGATGTTTGTTAGAGCTTATAGCCTTAACTGCTGAACGGAACTCGATAAAATTAGACATAAAGATAGAGGATTGTGTGAAAGAACACATAGGTACGCGCAAAATACGACTCAAGGACTTGGGATATTACGAAAAATTCGAACTAAATTCAAAACATGCAAATCTCAAATCTAAATGGGCAGATTTTAGTTTATTTCGTATAAAAATTCGATATCGTAGGCAATCAGATGCATATGGCCAAGGTTATTCGATTTTCAACCTTATTGTAAACGTAAAAATATATTTTTAGCGTCAATTTACACTGTAGTTATAAAAATTGGCGAGTTCGTCGCTCGTAAAAGGTCAACAGCGATCAAAGTCCTTGGCGATTCCAATTGTAAATATTAAATGTTTTTGAATTTACAATTCAGCCGATGGCCATAGCCTTGTTTGTAAACAAATATCGTCTTCTTTGTTATCTTTGGTATTTTTCTGAAGTAATTCAGGTAAAAGGCAAAGTTTTTGTGTATAACATACCATACGACGAGAACATAGGAATTGGTCCACACCAAACGCCTGAGTGACCTACGCTTAGGATAAACTCTGAGCCCCTCATGTGGACGTAGTGAGTAGATGGAGATTGTAAGACAAAAAATGTGCTTTTATATAGATATCCACCATCTATCTACTCGCTATGCGTCCCCTTGAGAGGCTCCGAGTTTATCCTAAGTAATAAAAGCGTAGGTTACTCAGTGGTTAAGCAAGTGACGTGGAGATCCTGGGTTCGAATTCCGCCATACATCTTTCTCGATACAATTAAAATATTATAGTCAACCATTTGTTTAACCATAGTATCTTAACACTCTCAATAAAGGAATGTTTTCTATACTAATATAGAGAGGAAATATTTGTATTTGTATGTATTAAAATAACTCAAAAACTACTAGGCCGATTTCAAAAAATCTTCCACCATTAGAAAGCTACGTTATCACTGAGTAACATAGGCTATAAGTGAACGTGAATCAAGTCGCGAGCAACAGATAGTATTTTATAATAATAAACATGGTAAAATGATAGAGGAAAATCAAGTTTCCATTTGATGTTATAGGCCATTTATGTATTGCATGTCATTATATGCTAGACGTTTTAAATATGTTAAGTTATTAAGTTATGTGTGTCTCATTGTTGCAATTGTTGATAAAAAGATACATTTTAATTATCTTTTAGTAATATTCCATTACAGAAGGAAGACGACGATACAATTAGGGTTGCCACTTGGACATTTGACGTTCTTGCGGTGAAGAACATGGTATAAAATCAACTAATACGCAATGGGCCAGTGTTTTCTAAAGTCTAGTCGTCCCTAACATAGTATAGGCTGTATCCCCTCGGTAGGTTTAAGCTAGTCAAGTTAGCAATAATCTTCGTTTAAAAGTTGCCAGCCCTTGTTGTATTTCGCTTCTTTAATAACATGGTTTTTCCCAAAACGATAGATGTTTTGCTGTAATTTTTGGTATTTCATTTTTGCAGTAATTATGGACTTATTTGTGTATCTTATACGATTTTTCAATTACAAATTGCCGTCTATATTTATAATTATTGTTTTGACAGATTACGATTTTCCTGAGTATTGTTACTTGTGCAATATCTTAGATTAGGTATGTAATCTTACTAATATTGTAAATGCGAAAGTTTAGATGGATGGATGTTTGTTAGAATTTGTAGCCTAAATGGCTGAACGGATCTCGATGATATTTGGCATAGTTGTAGAGGATAGTCTGGAAGAACACATAGGCTACTTACTTTTGCTTTTTGACCGACTTCCCAAAAGAAGGAGGTATTCAATTCGACGGTATGTTTTTTTAATTCTACACGGACGTAGTCGCGGACAAAAGCTAGTATAATTATAAAATTAACTTTGACAATAATGATCGTAATGTAGGTGGTTTTGTTATAGATATTCAAGGTTCAAAATGATATACCCTTTCAGTAGACGTGTTTATATTTTGATTATTATGATATTTAGCATCGACAAAAAATTATTAAGAATCATCTAATTAAGAAAACCTTCGGAATATAGTACAAAATTAATCGCGACCTTTAAATCAATTGTAGTATATTTTAAAGGTTTGTTTTTAAAGTTTTAATAAAATTAATGCTTTGTCACTATTGAATTATGGAAGAGATTTCTTTGAAGACAAAATTCGTAGTACAAACCGCGTTGTGTGTG